ACACTGCCAGGCTCTTAAAGGCTTCAAATTGGTTGTTTTTCACAGCCAGATGGAGAGAAGTTTCACCACGTGCCGTCACTTCTCTTATGCTATCTTCACTGGCTGAAATCAGTTCTTTAATGACTTGTATTCTGCCTTTGATCGCTGCATAGTGTAGGGGAACTCTTCCATCCTTTCCCTTGACCAGACACAAACTATCACCTAATTTCAGGAGCTCTTTTACGATCTCTAAATCCCCATTAGCTGCAATATCATACCTGCATTTCAATTCTCTAATTCTTCACATTATCATACCTGAATGACTTTACACATCTATAGGAGTCTCTCGCTGAAGAAGCCAAGTCTAAGTTGGAGGCTAATCAGCCACAAAAAAAAGCATGGAAGAAACTTTGCATTGGCTTCCTCAAAGGAAAATTGTGATGGAATCTTGGAATTGGGGAGTTTGGCAAGACATTTCTAATCAGGAAACATTCTTGTTGTACTATTATTTTTAAAACAATTTCAATTTGGTTACAAAATCGTAGTTATCATACGAATCTGATGTTAAACGGGAAAGGAAACACATGGAACACTTCAATTTGCTAAAAAGCTTAGGGAAGACACTTTCAAATGTTTGACAAACATTTTATCTAAATATGACCTTTCAAGGCCTTTTATTTATTAGTGTGATGGCATGGAATAATCGACGAATGAAATTTGAAAAACATGTACATGGGCAACCACCAAATCTACACAATATTTTTATTCAAAATCTGGTCTACATATACAGAACAGAAAAGAAAGGCCCTCAGAACTGTATAATCGAAGCCAAACCAATAAGGTCGTACACCTAAGGGTGGATTTTCAATAATCCTTCACACCTACTCAAATTGGATTAACTCGAACATGAATAAGAATCTACCTAAATACAATGGTAAAATGTTAATAAGTACCACATAACACCGCAAGTAAATTGTAGGGGCATATCCATTTAAAGCAATTAAGAATGTATGTCTGAACTGTGTTTGCATTTTCAAACCATTAGGCCCTGTTCTCTTTGCTGTTTTCAAATCGTTTTATGTTTTCGATTTTTCAAAACAGTGAAAATGCGTTCTCTTTCCTATTTTTGAAAACGCATTTTTTAAAAAAAAAAAAAAATTGTACGGAAAACACAAAACATCCAAAATCACGTTTTGAGCATTTTGTGTACAAAACACATTAATTTCACAAAACAGGAAACATGTTGAGATAATTTAAGGGTCTTACATTCCCATCAAGTATTAGCAAGGCTCGGCAATACAACATTTAAGGGTCTTACATTTTTTTTTAATATTATTGGATGTTTTGTTGTGTCGCCTTTCCAAACAAAACATGTTGTTTCTATAAAGTTGGATCATTCTTGGGAAAATTTTCGTTCCCTATCTTCGGATTTATTTTATCGAAACTATCGATACAGCGGAAGTCGTTGTCTCATTGATGGTTGACCCAACAATTTTACATCTAAAGAAAAAGTAGCAATAAAGAAAGAAAATGATTTTCATTGAAAATAAAGAATCAAGATTGTGTGTCCCTAAAGTTCACAGGTTGGCAAAGTTGGTGCTGGGGCTCGATCTGGAAAGGGACATGAATAATGACAATAAAAGGGGTGTTAGTTTGTACAAAATGACAGATTATAATATTTATTCCTTGTATTTTTGGTTATGAGACAAATTGACAGTTGTATTTGATCATGTTAAATCATGGAACTATACATACTTGTAGTTGAGCATGTGCCAACTTGAGAGAGAGAGAGAGAGAGAGCATGAATTGTTTTATTCTTTCTAATCCAGATTATAATATTTATTCCTTGTAATGGAGAATCATCCAAAGTAATGTGATTGGCACCACAACGAGAATATATGAATATTATGTGCAATTTTAGCCTCGTCGAGGCAGAGGACAAAATGGTCCATGGATCATCGGGACATGTGATACTCTAATTAGAATTGTTGTGTTGTGAGTGAGTTAAGGCACACATTATTTACACAAAAGAAGAGTTTAAGCGAAGGGCAAGTTGTCCAATTGCTACAATGATTTAACTTAAATCTCTCATAAAGACATGTTTTGAGTTCAAATGACGATAGAGAAATATGTGAGGGGTAAAAAGGCAGTTGCTCATACAAAATGGACAGTACATATATATAATGATTTGGGCACAGAGCTTTGGTCATCACATATAAATAGTGTGATTGTGACCTAATCTATATGTGACATGTTATTTGTTTGTGTGGATTGTGACTTAGTTTGTTTTACTATGACCTTCATACCCAAGAATTTATAGCATGTGACCTATGAATTTGTGTGATTATGATATGTTATGTTAAATAAATGCGACCTGTGAGCTTGAGTGACTATGACCCTATGTTATCTAAATGTGATCTAAGCATA